TAGTCTATCACAGAACGCAGACACAGTCAGCTACCCAATGAGAATTTTTATTCAATCCGAGCACAGATATTGACTTGTATTACTCGTATGATACTCGTACTCGTCAAAAGTGCTTTATCCGTACCGGATACTCGTTTCAGCCGAGTATCCGGCTCAACTCTACTTAATACCTTCAGTATAACCTCAGTCTCGATCTGTATTCTACAGATCTGGGTTCGGCTCCCGGTTTACGTGCTTACACAGACTGAGGTGCTGTGTTGGTGGTGAGCGGAAGCTTGTGTTCACAGTGTAGCCCCCACCCCCTGCTTCCAGGCGGAAAGTCAGACGGAGATGGAGAACTGGGTGACGGCGGTGCACTCGGCCTGCGCATCACTCCTGGCCCGGCAGCATGGCAAGGCAGACGCGCTGCGCCTCCTGCGCAGCCAGACACATGGCCTGCTGCAGAAGGTCGACATGGATGGCAAGATGAAGAAGATGGCCGAACTGCAGCTGTCGGTCGTCGACGACCAGAAGAACCGCAAGGCCATCGAGAGCCAGGTGATGCTTGGGTGGGGTGGAGGGGGTAGGGAAGGTCCAATCCAAAACGGCTTCTTGCAATCCCACCATACAAGAACATGAAGCTTAACTCACCCCCAGGGAGACCTTTAAAGTGTCTGGAGTTAAAACCAACATGTTCCTGTCTCCCCAACAGGGCATTATTGCAGGTACTTTGTTCGTCTATCATTTATCTGTACGTTTATTTTTTTGTGGTTGCACCACTAGGCATTCCATGGCCAGTAAAATATCTTGAATGTTGAAGTCGTGTGTTCCTCGTGCTTCCACACTTTGTTTTGGGTGGCTGCAGCTTGACAGTCCAATGCATGGTGTTGTGTAATGCCTCGGGTGTCCCAGATGATGTTCAGGGCAAATGACAAAAAAGACAAAATCCACATTTATTTTCCAGTTGTTTTGCTCCAAATCGCCATACAAGTAAGAAAGTAGGGTCAACCAGTCCCTGGAACAATTGGGGTTAAGGGCCTTGCTCAGGGGGCCAGTGGTGAAATTATTCTGATAGATATGGGATTTGAACCAGCACCCTTCCAATCATGGGCACATATCCTAACCCCCAGAGCCACACACCATCCCACACCTTGCGCACATTATGCCATTTCAGGGTATCACGTTTGATCAGTGCTGTGTTGCTACTCCAACAAATGATTCTGTGGAAAAGAGAGAATGGGCCTCAGCTTTCCTGGCGACTGACTGAAGACACTTGGGACGTCGTGTGATGGACTGAAATCTCAAACACGGGCGCTCACGGGCCGGCAGGTTGCCACTGCACATTGCGCTCTATTCACATCCCAGATGTGCTGCGGTAATGGGCCCATACTTTGCGTTACCCGCTTTCATGGTGATCCTGCCTGATGAGGAAAGCAGATGAAGGCATGGATGTGCCTAGTGGATGGAAAGAATGCTTGTTTTATTTATGGCCTGAAAGGCGCTCTCAAACCTGAGAATCACCCCCTCCCTTCCAAAGCGGGAGGGAATTTTGGCCAGGAGCTGGTTTTATACGATTTCCCTTTATAATGGGCCAATACGCTGGTTAGGTATTGCAGGAGGTCATGTGATCCGTTTGGCCTGCTTGTGTTTTCAGGCAGCCCCTTGGATTCTGCCCGGGCTCATCCCAGGCCCTGAACACTGATGTTAAAGGATTTAGTTAATGTTTTTAATGTGCTAAAGGGGAATCTCATCAAATGTTAACTTTTAGGGCAGCAGGTGGGTTTAGGACATGGAACTCTAATTCAAAGGGTTCCGGTTAAGCCCCTGGAGAGGTCTTCCTCAGGGCCTTCAAGTTCAGGATTCAAAGGGCTTCACCACTTAACCCTGTAACCCTTCCTGCAACACTAGTGCTTCAAAGGGTTACAGAAGCAGTTGGGTGCAATGAGATCCATGGTGCTTGTGCATGTCTAGTTTCTTATTGGATTTTCTTAGTGGGATTTCTGTATGTATAATTTGTCCACCACTGACTTGTTATTCAGTAATCTCCTGCTTTGCTACATGAGTGGGTGGAAATACCTCCTGCCAAGCCAATTTAATGTCCCAAATCAGCAGTCTTTCTTTTTTTAGATCAAAACTCCGGTAGGAAATAAAAGCCTTTTTTTGGCCATATCCTCTTCCTTTTTTGATGAGACTTTGATGTGCTCACAACAGAAGTAAAGTGGAAAATAAAGCACCCAATCCCAAAAATAGTATGAATCCCTTAAAAATTGTAAGTTTACTGAAATCTGAGTATGGGGTCTTCTGCTACTTAAATGACACTGATTTTTGTTTGGCTGAAAAAATTATCAAATGCACAAGAACTTTTCTAGTACTGGTGTTACTCATAGAAACTTGGGACTATACAGGCAATTTCAGGCAGTTTAGAGAGATGTGCAGCATCTACTGGGAGTTAAGCAGTTATGCTCAGCAGATCAATCCATTTTATATCCTCGGTACTAACCCTGAGACCTCTGTTGCCTGCACAGATTGAGCAATGGGAGCAGAACCTGGAAAGGTTCCACATGGACCTGTTCCGAGTCCGATGTTACCTGGCCAGCCTGCAGGGGGGCGAGCCCCCAAACCCCAAGATGCTCCTGGCAGCTGCCAGCCGGCCCTCTAAGGCGACACTCGGCCGCCTGGGCATCTTCTCTGTGTCGTCCTTCCATGCCCTGGTGAGTCGAGCATTCGTTCTTTGCTAGCATAATCTTAGGTGCCTCATAAAATGTGGGTGATGTTATTGTATGTTGCTTATAGAGGATTTTGCACGTCCCACTTTAAAATATCTTTGTGTAATTTTATATATTAAGTGTGTTGCATGTTTGTGATTCTAACACTTCAAGCTATTTAAGTACAAAAATTAGTCCTAAAACCTGCAGGACATTTAATTAGTTGACTGGTAGATGATAAAGGATTTGGTTAAAAAGTATAACCCCTTTCATAACATTGTTTCTGTTCTCTCCATCAGGTGTGCTCCCGTGATGAGCTCACCCTAAGGAGGCGCTCTCGCTCCCAGTCGCATGGCACCCGGGGCAGGCGAGGCCTTCTCTCCTCGTTTAAGGGCCTGGACACCCTGACTCGACGTGGCCGCGACAAAAAGCAGCCTGTCTCACAGGTACCAGCCTCGTAGGGGTTACTGACGGCAACAGTACCAATGTCACTGTCACCAGGGCCACCGACAACAGTGGAAGCTCTCTGACCTTCTCTGGGGGCCGCGTTCGGATGTGGGAGGCAAACATCCTTCCATCCATCTCACAGAGCTTATCTGGTTCAAGGATGTGGGAAGCTTGCAGCTTATTCCAGGAAGTAAGGCCAAGGCAGGGGAGCTTGGGACGGGATGTCAAGTGCAGCACCGGGCACATGGGTGTACACACACACACACACACACACATACTATTGGCAGTATGAAGACAGCAGTTGGCCTAGCTGCATGTCTTTGGACTGTGGGAGGAAACCAGGGGCGACACCCTGAGGAAGCCCATGTGAATCGGGGGGCGTGGCCACAGACGCCAAACCCCCCAGTCCGGCTGCATACTGTAGGTCAGCATAAATATCAGTATCCTTTCCCGTTATGCAGCTTGGCATTGTTGAGCTGTAACCTATCAGTAATCTTACCATGCGCTTTGCCAGTCTGTAATGTAAATAGTATTTCCCAGAAACAGAAACCTTAGTAAATCAATCTAGCCAAGGAAGGATTATGTTCACCATGAAACAACAATGAGAAATTGATACAGAAGTGAGGCACAGCACATCTTTACAGAAAAATGGAACACTCAGTACTGAATATCAGGGAATTACTGACTAAAGCAGTCTCTGTCTCTCCACCTACAGTACATGTGACACTTTAGGACTGGGTTTCGCCATATGACATTTATCGGCACTGATTTGTCTGCGGACACAACTCATGGCAACACTGCAAACTGTTGGTAGATAATTTTGTTTGGCTATAGCTTATTTCTGATAAATTTAACCTGTTTGGTTTTGTAGATGTAATTAAAATATTTGAAATAATCGCAGTGTGATACGTGCAGCCCTCCCTCCAGTGGAACAGCTCTCGTCATGTGTTTTATCTGTTTTTGTCGCCAGATCTTGTTGCGTAAGGCTGGCCACGCAAGACTAAAGGGGTTAAAGTGTCACACATTCATGGAAAAAGGCCATAGGCTGCAAATGGGATATACAGTGGTACCTCGGTTCTCGAACTCACTAGAACTCAAATTTCTTGAAAGTTGAACAAACCAGTTTGACCTAGAACTCAATCTGAATATCAGAAGTCGAACCGTGAACGCTGACATAATATAAATTGTACGCGCCAGGAAATGAGTCACACTACAATGCAATTCTTACTTGAATGCCTTCTTCACAGACTGGACGATTAACCAAATAAAGCAGCTCAACATTACAGTAACTAACAATAAATAAACCACTAACTTACGTGTACTATTAGAGCATTTATGTAATTTATTTAAACTTTTTTTACCAGGTAAATTAACTGAAAACCAGTTCTCACTGCTTTATGTGATATTCGGGAGAAATAGCAGATTACGCATCGGAACTGCCTGGGATACAAACGTCATGCGTCATGCTAAACTCTTCAGCTAATAAGGGCAAAGGTGTGGCGGTTCCAGTTTGTGCAGCTGGGTGAGAGGTCGCAATGCATCTAACCGTAATGCATTGCGTCAGTATCAGAATGCGTTGCTTTAAGCCAGTGCTGTAAGCAAGTCCAACGCACCCAATGACCGGACTGGGGAAACACACTGAAACGCGGACTTAATACAGAGGACTAATGACAACAACCAGAAACAGCTGATCACACGGGGTTAACGAGGGGGCGTGGCACACGGAAGGAGCGGACGGTCAGGACAGGGGTAATGTTGGGATAAGATCTTTATCGTTTTGGAAGCCATTAAGAAAAAAATTCTGCTCGTTTTATCCTGTTCATTTTGTGTTTAAATGCTAAAAAAAAAATACATATTTAGGTGTAATTTTGGGGGCCGGGAAACAATTAATTGGTTTTCCATTACTTCTTATGGGAAAAATTCGATCAGAACTCAAACTTTTTAGGATTCGATCCGGAGTCCGGAACGGATTAAGTTCGAGAACCGAGGTACCACTGTATTAAACAATCGATCTCTGGATTTTATGAATAAATATTGGGTTATGCAAATGAGGATCGATTTTCTTTTATTATTGATTTATTTATTTAAACCCAGCCCTACATTTTCTGCTTTGCTGAACACTGCTTCTGTGGTGTTGATGTCCCCAACAGACTAAAGGAGGGAGATGACATTATCTGGCTTCTCCAGTCCATATCCTCCCCTGCTTTCCAAGGTGCCGGCGAAGCCCTGATAGAACAGAATGCACTGATTGGCCTCTGCAGTGCGTCATTAGAGACCCCAGCAGGTGTCCTTGTCTCTGTATTGAGGCCTGTGTGATTTAGCCCCTGCTGGCAGGTGGAATTGGGGGAGCTGATTGTGAAGTATTGCGAGCTGTGTGTGGTCAGTGGAGAAGGCAGGTGGGGGAGGCAGATGGTGCGCGTGACTCTGGGTGTCTGTTAAGCACGCCCTCCTTTCTGTGCCCCTCTCTGCAGTGCTGTTAGCCTCACACTCATTGGGATAAGTGAGTAATAAGGTTGTAATTAGTACCAATGAGGAGAGTCTGGAAAAACATACTGACACAGTCTGCTAACAAGTCCGTGAGTGCTATTAAATGCTGTTCATCCTTTCTCACACTCTGGATCACAAAGGAGACCGGAACTTTTTTTTCTGAAATCTGAACCTTTTTCCAGAACCAGGGTCTTTTGTCATGTTCACGTCGCAGGAACTTTTTGAACATAAACTACTGGGGAGGTGCTTGCAGCGATTAGCTTGCTGATTGGTTGACCACAAGCGCTGGCACTAACTTAGAAGGAGTAACTTGTTAGGCAGGAGTGAGAATAATGAGATATAGCAGAGAAAAAACTGAGAGGATGGTATTATTTTTGTACCCCAATTACATTTGATGCATGAATTAATACATTTTTCACTTATGTCTTTATATTTCTGCTTTTGGAAAATTTGATCACCAATCAGAATACTTTTGTCTAATCCTGCCAGTGTCAGGGCTTCTTAGTAGAATAAAGTTACATCATTTTTATTCTGTGGAAAACAAAAGATTGATCTCCTGACCAGATTTCATAGAATCTGTTACGGTTCTGAATATAAATAAAAGGCTGTGTCTTGTTGGGCTGGGCATTTAATTGAAAACAAATCAAAACCGACATTCAGAATCTCTAATCGAGGTTATATTGTCAGTTACTTGGATTTTTTTTTATAAATTTTTTTAAATTCTGTTAATGTTTTAAAAATCTGTTAATACTTTCCCCAGTGTGTGTTCATGTACTGTCCACTTAAAATCATATAAACATAGATACAAACATAAAAGTTCCTGGGCAAGACCAGGTAAACTGGGGTCAGGTTTCGGAATTTCAGTGTGAAAGCACCTAATAATGGAAGAGTCAGCAGGGGGCATCAGTATGTCAGCATCCTTAGGGCTTCACATGCTTCACATGCTTCACATGCCGGCATTTATCTCTTTGCTGTCTTTCTGTCACTGGTGTTTCGGGAGAGGAGCCATTTGTTCAAGTCTGAGTACAAATCTCTGGAATTCTTTCAAAGCTCACAATGTACAGGAAAAACACATCACAGATTGAAAAGATATATATATTTAGCTTATTAGAAAGCACTCTCTATTTGCAAATACAGAACGTGTTTGAGGCGGCACTGTGGTGCAGTGGTTAGCACTGTTGCCTTCCACCTCTAGGACCAGGATTCAAGTCTTCGCCACGTGTGGAGCTTCCATGTTCTCCCTGTGTCGTGACTGGATACTCTGTTTTCCCCACCTTGACCGTAAATAGGGCCAGTAGTTACAGAAGATGGATGGATCTTCTGTGTTTATTAATTCTTCCCCGCCTTCACCTTTGATGTTACCTAATGTTTCATCAGCTTACTATGATACTTGCCTTTTTATTACCGCAGACGTCTGACCGTCAGTGTAGGCAATGGGCACCTGCGGCTTGTGCTACCCAGCCCATCCTGTACTGTGCCAGCAGCCTGAGGACCATGCAGGATGGTGATTCTGGCTGCGCGGTCCATTCTCTAGGCCTGAGTGAACATGGCTGCAGGACAGCCGGTCATTTGAGCCAGACCACTGGCGAGTCTGAGGTTGTGCCTGATTAAACTGCCAATAGTTCCAAAACTTTCTGCCACTTAGAGGTATATGGCAGACACACGGACAGCTTATGTGTGTGAGTTTAAGTGATGTCTTTTTTTGACATTTATTTTCTTGAATGTGTTTGTGCAGGTTTTGGAGAAGAACTCTGAAGGTCAGGTTGGCTGTTTGCTCGCCTGCAACTTTGAGGTGAGCTCTGCCTGCTGGGGTGACGTCCTCAGTGTAGTGGGAGAGAGATTATACATGGGGACATTACTCTGGGGATTAATGTGCGTCCTGCACCAGAACCAGCTATGTCTGTCTGTCTGTCTGCATTTCTGTCTCTTTCTGTCTGAGCATGTCTCTGTGCATGTGTCTGTATGTCTGTTTCTGTCTGTCTGCATTTCTGTCTCTTTCTGTCTGAGCATGTCTCTGTGCATGTGTCTGTATGTCTGTTTCTGTCTGTCTGCGTTTCTGTCTTTGTCTGTATGTCTGTGCCTGTCTGTTTGTCTGTCTGCGCATGCACGCATGTGTGTTTTCTCCCTCCCTAATGGCAAGGCTCCCTGCCCTGTCCCTGGCAGACCTTTCTACACACTGGCTTTTGTTCTGACTAAGCTCTTAATTTAATTTGATTGAGCTGCTGACTGAATGAATTGTGTGATCCAAGGTTAAATTGGAAAAGTCTGTGTTTCGTTAAACCAAAATCGTGTTAGTTAAGGAATAAGTGTGAAAAATGTCTTTATCCTTTATAAAATGGTTTATGGTGGTTAAAGGGGTCATAATATTATTTTATACTTAAACTGCTAGAACCTGAAACAGGTGCATTTGTGTACATTCAGCGCTCAGACATTAAATTATGACAGCTGAATAAGAATAAAAGCAGTGAGCTGCCATGTCAAGCACCTTTTGATTCCCCTGGCTTAAGCTCTAAGATTAGACCTGAGCAAAGGTCACGTGAAACAAAAGCTGGAATGAGGCAGGACTGGCATCATGTGATGATTAGTTCATCATTGAGAATGCTATTACCTGTGACATTAAAAGCTTACTGTGCTCTTACACAAACTCTCATTGTGCCCTTAGGAGCAGAAACTGGATGGCCTGGCTAATCATTACTCCATAGCACCACCCGAAGGCAATCTCTGGGACAACAGCTTGAAGACGTCTGTGTACTTTCTGGATAACCAAGTCATTAATGTTACCGTTAAGCATGATCACACTGTTGCAGACATGCTGTCCTTAGCCTGCAAGGTAACAGCAAATGGTCTTTTGCTTTTTAAATAGTTTTTTTTTTTGTAAACTGCATTTCATAAAAATTGTACACTGACATCTGTTCCTGATTTACATACATAGTTAGCAGATGCTTTTATCCAAAGCAATATAAATTTTTTGGAGAAAGCGGAGTCAGACAATCCCTAGAGCAATTGGGGACCCAACAGTGAAACTAGAGGTGCGTGATCTGATGATTTTAGATTGTGATCGATCTTAAAGACGTCCACAATCTAATTTTCAAGCGAATCGTACAGATCGTGATTTTTTTAGATCCTAATACTGTTTGCTAATAGATCCGTGTCAAGTCGTCAAACCAACTGAATGATTTCTCGTTGTGATTGGCCAAATTATACCACGTGTCCTCATCGCGGCTCTCCTGCATTTAGTTCAAAACAATTCATTGCGTGCTAGGAGCCTGGCAGATCAGGAGGCTGTGCCAAAGAAGTACTCGACGTCATTTATGTGGCAGTTTTTCCAGCTATGCACAGTCGGATACTACACAAAGTAATATGTAAAATTTGGCGGTCAGCGCGTCAGGAGGCAATACGACAAATCTATTTCATCATCTTAAACGGAGACACCCGAAGGAGCATGCCGAGACTGTTTCAGTCCGGGCAGTACAACCACACTCATCTGTATCTCGCGTGGTCGTGAAGCAAAAACAGTTGTCGCTCACCGACGCTTTAGAACAGTCGAAAACGTGATGAATGCATCAAACGATGGAAAGAGGTGACTGACGCAGTCACATTCTACCTAGCGAAGGATATGCCCTTGTTTACATTTGATTACTTCTAGAATTATTTTTCTATGTAATCTGTTCACAGTTCAATTTAAGTTTGATATTTTAAAATAAAATGGAACTTAATTGGGTCTTAATGAGTTTGAGGATGTGCCACATTGAAAATAGAGATCGCAATTCAGATTGTGGGCCGTGATTTTGTATTTAAAGGATCGTGATGTAATTTTTTTTTTGGAAAGATCGCCCACCCCTAAGTGAAACCACTCAGCAGACCTTGGGATGTGAACCAGCACCATTCTGATCACAGGCCTAGCGACCATACCCACTGAGCCAAACAATGCATGATTAACGACAACAGTCCGCCTGGTGTTTTATTTTTCTACTAGAAATAGCCTTTGCCGTGGGGTTTGAATTGCTTGGCATCACGCTCATTCGAGGCAGTGGCACTGTATATTTGCTCAAGCAGAGGGCATCCGTGTGGTAAAGTGGGATGTTTTTAGCGCCCTCTCCTGGGAGCTGATAGCCACCTTCCCTCTGCAGTGTGCTAGAGCACGTGGCATGCATGCGCAGCCCGCAGGACGCCGCAGTCCCTGCGCTCAGCCAGAGCCGCGTCTGAATGTCACACACGCATGTGATTGGATACGGATGGTATCGCTGCATCTGTAAACGGAGCAGTGACCGTGCTTGCGTGTTATGTGAGCCGTGATAGATAGGCTGAGAGAATTTTGCTGAATTCTTGTGCTGCCCTCTATCCTGCTTTTAAATACAACCAAGTTTGACTTTTGTGGGGGTAGACATGAGTATTTAACTAGGGGGTGGGTCCCCAATTGCTCTAGGGATTGTCTGACTCTGCATTCTCAAAGAAATGTATACTGCTCTTTCTCCATATAGGAGTTAATTAGTCATATTCTTTATGAGTATCATGTACTTAGTAAATCATTTCCATAATCATGTGCTTACACTCAGGGACTGACATAACTGGTACGCAAGTACGTATTCACCTTTAAAAGCGATAAGTGCGACAATCACTTGTTTTAACGGCGTGAATGCGTACTAATTTTATGTGCATTTGCGCCGATATGACAAGAAATTATCATGCATTTTAACCTCTATACCACAAATGTAGTACGTATTAGCATATAAAGTTTAAAATGCACGATAATTTCTTGTCATATCGTACGTATTGTCAAAAGCACATAAAATACGTACGCATTCACGGTATTGCACCAATCGATTGCCGCACGTATCGTTTTTAAAGGTGAATACGTACTTGCGTACCAGTTATGTCAATCCCTGCTTATATTAATAGGCACCACTTGTAGGTTCCTTATACAGGGCTCCTTTCTATCTTCACTCCTAACACCTCTGGGTTATCCGCTCACAGGTGAGGCAGCTAGATCCGGGTCAGCACTGCCTGCGTGTGAGCATGGGGATGGGCCCAGAGACCGAGTTCATCACACCAGCGCCTGGGGACCTTGCCCAGGGGATGGTGAGTCCTCCTTTAGCTGCCCAGCATAATCGCCTGTAGCACAGCGCTGTGTTCCTGTGTTTGTTACACCAAGTACAAATGCTTTTCAGCTTTAATCTTTTTTTTTTTTATTTCATGCTAATAGTTTAATCTCTTAGTTTTGGGGGAGGTGGAAGCATCTTTTTTTTCCCCTCTGGACAAATGTCTTTATTCTGATTATTTGTGTGTGTGTGTATATATGTATGTGTGTATATATGTATGTGTGTGTGTGTGTGTGTGTGTGTG